TTGGACAACTAGTAGCTTAAGAAAAGTTTTCCCGTCATACCATAACGCAATGGCAAGTCTTTGACCAATTTTTTTTTAAAAAACATCGAAATCTCTAAACAAGAAAGGCACCTTTGATGTTAATTTAATATTTACAGCGACATTAGCTTGTACAAAAAGGGCACTTTCATCACAAAAAGGGACACTTTTGGTCCTTTGAAACAATTTGGGAGGGGGGAGGGGCACGTGCTCCCTCTGCCCCCCCCTCATCCCACGTCCCTGATTCAAAGACCACTTGATCCCGAGATTGAAGGCTTTATGTAGATGAACATTTCGAGTGGAAGATTCATATATTCTACTCGGAAGGTTCACTACTCCGAAAGTTCACTAGTCCAAAACATACGATGGTTTTGAATTGCAATTACGTGTGGCTGCTTCGCAGTTAAGCATTTCACGTACCTGCATACACGCACGGAAAAATTTAAATAAGAATTAAATGAATAAAAGGATAGCATTTAGTTTTGTGTCCGATTTTAAATGTATTTTTTAAGTAATTATAGTATTTATACCGGTATAAAATGTAGAAAGATTTATAAACTTTTCCTAGTGTATATATATATATATATATATATATATATATATATATATATATATATATATATATATATATATATATATATATATATATATATATATATATATATATATATACAGGGTATATATATCAAAATAAACGCAATTCATCTTTTGTGCTTAATAACTTTCGAAATACTATTTCTAGTTAAACGCTTTTAGGCTTACTTCAAAGCCTGTTCTTTTTTCTTTCAAACAAACTATTATCCTTGTCTCCAATGCTAGTAATAATTGCACAGGAAAATATTTAGTAAAACCTATCATTTTTAGTTGCTGTTTAATTATGCAAGTTTACTATGTTATTGTTTAGTCGGTTTAAATGTTAGAATTTTCTTCTTTAAACTTTAATGTTGTCATCACTACATCTGGAAAACCACGTAAGAACAAATTAAAAGTATTTTAAAAGAGACCAGGTTGTTTGAAAATCCTAAACGAATGCTAAAAATCGTCAAAACATTCTGGTGTCTGAGCCAGAGTGTCTTCGAATTGCGATGTAATGTAAACAGAAATTATAGCAAGTTGATGTCAGTCAACTTAGATGGTCCAAGCCAAAATTATATCGCATTTGAAGTTTCAAACTGAGTTAAAAATAGTGGAAGAAAAGCCGTAATTATACTTATTGTTACAATCCATTTAATAAAATGCAACATTCGTTTGTTTCAATGAAAAAATCAGTTATTTTCATGAGAACGATTTGTTATTCCATCTCAATTTTTTTAATCTCCAATCGCAATAACGTAAAATATTATTACCCGCGAACCAATGAGTCAAATTTAAGAAACAACCCACTGTTAGAAAGCTGAATGGCTACGCTTTAAAATGAATGTAAACTTTAACGTTTACGTCTATTATTTGTTTAGCAATTTACATTTCAGTCGAGGATTGCGCTTTTTTTGATACACCCTGTATATATATATATATATATATATATATATATATATATATATATATATATATATATATATATATATATATATATATATATATATATATATATATATATACAGGGTGTATAAAAAAAAAAGGTAATCGAACTTCAGCGCGCTATTGTATCTGAATTACTCTGCGTATGAACGAGATTTTTTCACATTCGGAAAGATCATGCTTTTAGCTGTTAAGTGATATCTTCTTCATGCCAAATGGATAAAAAATGAGCAAATACGAATCCGATAAAAAATGTTAGTCAGAATTGCATATTTTCACCGTTGAGAGTTGGGTCTAAAACCATTGAAAATGAACCCCCTTTGGTACTTAAGTTGATGAATTTCCCTTCAATATAAACGACGCACATGTTCATAATTATTATTAAGTAGGAATAAATCTTAGCTAAGCTACGACACGTTCGTGATTAATTGCTTTTATTTTGTTATGCATTGTTTTAATTAGGCACAGAGCCAGAGGTGAAAATATGCGATTTTGACTAACATTTTTAATCGGGTTAGGGTAAAACGCTGATACGGACGGGCGGACGGACGGACGGACGGATGACCTATTTTTCTCTAAAATATGTTTTAAACATCATATCCGCGTTTTACCCGATCGGGTAAAACGCGGATATGGTGTAAAATATACTTTTCGGCTCTTTCAAAGGCATATCCGCGTTTTACCCGATAGGGTAAAACGCGGATATGGTGTAAAATATGCTTTTCGGCTCTTTCAAAGGCATATCCGCGTAACGCGGATATGGTGTAAAATATGCTTTTCGGCTCTTTTAAAGGCATATCCGCGTTTTACCCGATCGGGTAAAACGCGGATATGATGTTTAAAACATATTTTAGAGAAAAATAGGTCATCCGTCCGTCCGTCCGTCCGTCCGTCCGTATCAGCGTTTTACCCTAACCCATTTTTAATCGGCCTCGCACATGCTTATTTTTTCTCCACTTAATTTGGCATGAAAAGCATGTCATTCAATAGCTAAAAGCCTGATCTTTCCGTATAATAGCGCGCTGAAGTCCGATTACCTTTTTTTTATATACCCTGTATATATAGTGCATGTCAAAAAGGTTGTCCCCTTCAAATAGTGAATATGTTGTTTACACGATATTTGAAAATCAAGAAAATGCCAAAATCAAGGCCGGATTTTGAGGGGAGGTGTGGAGAGGTGCGCACCTCCCCTGAGATCGTTTTGAATTGAAACAGTGATAGCCATTCATCTCTGTGTCAAGTTCCCTTTTAATGCAATGTTTTGAAAGAAACTTTGTAGCAATTGTAATGAAGGGCAAGATTGGAGTCATATATACATTCATAATTCATCAAACACTGGTATATATGTACACTACATGCATACCTCACCTCGTTGATATTGACCCGTTCTACAATAAGCCCTAACTTTCCATGGGGGTTGTGAGCTAGACCGCTACACCTCCCCTAAAATTTTTTCCCACTTCCCCCACTATTTTCACCAAAATTCGGCCTTGATTTGCATCTGTTCAGTGCCTAGTTCTAAAATTAGTCTATAATGGGAATTGTCTGTTTACATGAACATAAGAGACTTTTTATTTGGCTTCCATTTATGAATATTAAAGGTCTATAAACATTGTTATTTGTTGTTAAGTGATACATTTTTAAAACTACTAATGTTTTTTCAAACTGGTAAATCTTTTCAAAGCTCCCCTTCTTTCGTGTCTCTGTATTTTTTCAAAGCCCCCCTTTCAGGTTTAAAAAAAATTTAAAGGCCCCCAGTTTCTCCTCAATCCCCCCCCCCCTGTACAATAAATAATGAGCGGTCCCTAAGCTGAATTTACAGATTATTCGTGAATACAGGATTTTATTCGCTGTTGAGAGCTTGTAAAGGACAGTACACTGGCTTGGATTTACCATTGTGAAAATTGTGATTTTCAATTGCAGTAGAATAATACTTTTTGTCGAAAAATCGCATATATATTCTACAAGTGTTTGATCTACACTGTGCAGGGTGTCCCCCAAAAAGTGACCCTATAGAAATTATTGGGTTATTCCACTGAGAAAACATCCATACCACCCCACGGAGGAAATAGGAAGTTAACCCCCCTACCCCCTTCGGATACATTTACTATTATCAGAAACAATTTTTTCTCCCCTCCCCCTCCGGACGGCAGAAATTTCCTCCGTGGGGGGAGTATGGATCTTTTCTGGAACGACCCATTCCATATAATTTGAATGCCTGATCACTATGCTGAATACAAGAGTGCCCAAAACGTACCCTGAATTTCAGGCGGTCACTCGAATATCGTTGAAATGTGGTGTATTTCTTTGTTTCATTAAACCTCTGCTCGCATAGTATTTACATTGACGCAAATGCTACGGTACATGCATTATGGAGGAGGCTAGCAGTTCACGGTAAGCCCATAACACGATTGTGCCCGTGGAAACCAAAGTAGTTAGGGGAGCACTACGTGTTAAGGGCAACTTTCCCATCAAAAATGGCACTTTTCAATTTTTGTCTGGGAGAAAGGGCGCATATAAAGAGCCCTAGAGGAAGACTTGGTAGGGGACATGTGCCCTTGTGTCTACACCACTGAACATTTTTAAATCACTACCCAGGGAATACAAGAACAACATATGAAAGGTAACAGGTGGCATCCAATTATATATAGCTCCTTGTGAAACAGCCTTGCAATGATGCAAAGCCAAGAAACGACGTGAATTTGACTTTGCTGGTTCAATTTCCTCAAGTTGTGTTAGGACCATTTTAACATGCATCACATGTCTCATGCAGTATAAAACAAAATATATTTCCACTTCTATAGTTACTATATTAAATGTTTTATTTACAATAAATACAAATGACAAACGTGCATGTCTTAGGCTCTTAGCATTGTCAAACTAAAGACTTGAGTTTCTTCCATGGTTTTTTAAAGCGTTCAAAAAGCGCTTCACGTACGGCTGCAGTTAGTTTCTTCATTAGACAAACAGCAGTTGCAACTTCAAACCATAAGTTGTAAATTATGATCAAGTGTAAGTTTCCAAGCCAATCAAAACGACCAAATTCTCCCATCAAATCAAATGTTGTGATTCCTGTAATACAAAATTATTGTGGGTTATTAAATGTAGATCATAGTTAAGGGCGTTCTCGCTTTTGGGAATGGCGCTACACATGGTGGTCTACTTCAAAATGTAATCTTTACCATAACTATTAGAGCGAACAAATCATGCTATAAATGTTTCCATGGCATATATTTGTCACCAAATAGATTGGTTAATATTAATATCCACATCGCTAAAACTGCTGTCCCTCTATATACACAGTCTAATACACATAGGGAACAGATTAGTCAATTCAACAACTCCTTTCTTTTTTCGAGTTGACCACCATATCAAAAGAGTATAGACTAGGTCCAACTCTTTGTCCGCGCCTTTGATGTCACTGATAACCGGCGGCCATGTTCTGTGGCCATGTTCCTAGCCAGTGCGCTAGGGAGAGGAAGTTCCCCCCCCCGAAAACATTCAAAATGGCGTTTCAAAGTGTTTAGACGTTCGGTAGGTGAATGCCTCTTGTTCGGGTTAGGGACATGCAGGCCGGTTACGGGCTTTTCGCCGAGTCGGACTATGTATAGTCTATCAAGGTTTTCAGTTTAGGCCGGCGAACGGCGAATTTCGCTAGACTTTTTCATTCAACCCCACCCAAATTCGCCAGAGCTTGTACGTTTAGTCACGTCTCTATTATGTGTACTCGCCCAAATTTGTACATTCTATCGGTAGAAATAATATCTATCGCCATAGCTTCATCGCCATTAGCCAGAGCCTCACACAAAACTGAAAACCCTGTCTATATACTGTATATAGTCTGTTACCATGTGCTGCTATAGACAAATTTAGCTAACGTTGCTTACATCGTCGCTATCCAATTCACAAAGTAGATGACTCACATGCCTAGTTACTATTGTTCTATAGTTACAGAAGCATAAAAAAGGATAAAGGTAACTAAGCATTAGAATTATGTATAAGAGTTATTCACTCATGTAGATAATTCTAGAGCTTATTTCCTTTGTTCTATTATGAGTTTCTGTGATCTAAAGTTGTGAATTGGGTATCAACAAATCTTGAAACGCATCCAGTCGCCATCAGACTGCATTATATGTATTCTTACCTAACATTCTTGCCAGTACGGGAAGAGCGGAACTGAGAACAAGCAATACAACACAATTTGCTATTACCTACAAGTGCGAAGAACAAAAAAATGATCTTAAACTAGGGATGTGCCAAATTCGGATACCGATAAAATACATGTATATAGACATACTGCATCCAATAGAAATTTTGCGGGTTTGCCGGATATTTACCAGAACTTTTGTTAGAGAGGTTCAGATTTGACTTCCACTACCGTTATCACTACTTTTCACTGGCTTAGTACACATCTGATTGGTTAATCGGATAGTTCAAATGCATCTGATTGGTCAATGGTTCCTTAATGGTAACGGAAATCAAATCTGAACCTTAGATTAGAACCATGAAACCGAAAAACTGTTTTCTTTATCTTTTTTGGGCGTTACTGTAACAATTACTGCCTGTGAATTTAGAAAAAGTTTAAATGAAGTAAACTGTTCTCTGCTGTAGATTGCTCGACATTTATGCTTATTGTATAAAGAGATACTACCAAAACCGTGGATCCTTCCTCTCGCTCGAAAAAAACGTTCAACGATTTGCGTCAGAACATTCAGGAATTGCAACCACATTCCTAACGTCGTGAAATCGACATCTTGGGAATGACGACGTCTGATTGGGTGCCAATCCAATTTGTTAATTTGGAAAGGAAATATCATGTCACCATTGCCCCAAGGGCAATGTTTCGCCAAATCTACGGACCACTGCTGTGCGAAGCTCCATTTGATTATGAACTTGGTCAACGGTCGCATCCCAAACCATGACTATGGGTCGATGATCACACACACACAGATTTGGCTGGATCCATCCCTGATGAATTCCTAACGATGGTCCGAACCAGGAACAATTGATTGCTAGAAACATTCCCATTTAAAATAAGTTACTTCTGTTTCCGTAACACACTGCCTTAAAGGGATATGGCAATAAAAATTAACTTTGTCTTATTCGAAAGAACTTTTAAAGTTATATATGAAGAAAGAAGAAAGAAATTTTCGTACCTTGCTTGGTTTTCAAAATACTTTTACCAAAAACAGTGTGCAGTCCGCCACCTTGGTAAATTAACTGAGTTTTTGATGACGTCAGAAGCAGGATAAACTTGTTAAAACTTCTTCATGTGGGACTATTAAAATTTCTTCGAAAAATTTCTTAAAATGTTGTGAGTTAATTGAGTACTAAAAGGACTTCGGAAAATCGAGTTTCATATTGATAATGACATGTGGTTGGCAAGATAAAAATTTCGCTCTTTACCCTACTTGTGACGTATGCATATCGAATGCATATCCAAGATGGCGGAATACACGCTGCTTTTGATCAAAATAAGTCGATTTATTTCGAAAACCAAGCAAGATACGGAATAATTGTAAAGGAAGTTTATACATAATTTCAAATGTTCTTTCAATTTATATTGCATGCCCTTTAACACTACAGTACCTGTGTCATAGGTGTATTTTTTACAATTGGTGTAAGCTTTGCAAACCAGGGAAGACTATAAAATCCCATTAATGATGCAGCCATGAGATAGCTGATAGTGGTTAAGAAATGAAAACAGTACATGCGATGAATTAATGGCAAATTAGCCTAGGCTACATTGTTTGATGCACCAGTATCTGTACAATATGTGTATGCCCTTTAGGATAACGTTTGCCAGTATTACTATATCCCCCGAGATTGAAGACACAGCATGACCTTTGAATGATGGTCTTAATACGATGCGACGATGCGCACAACATGCAATTTTGAAAAAATCATTACTTTCTTCAATTAAGTTTGTGAGTATTTCTACGGTGAACGCTTCCTAAGATATATTAAGGAAAAATTCAAACAAAAGATCGACTATTTGGTCGCAGTCCAATTTCACGTTGAAACATGTATTGGACTAAATTGTACGCTTTCTCGAAGCTGTTGATATTTTACTGCCATAAAATAGTACAACGAGAAGGTAAGCAATATAATATGCATTATAATACTACATCATCTTCAATTTCAATTTGTTAGCTACGTCAGAATTACAAATATAATATGTGACAGGGTTACCGCAACAGCAAATGGCCAATTATTGCAGTCCCAACGACAACAACAAATGAACAAATTCACCCGCATTCAAAAGCCTGAACTGTGCCTTTATATATCAACCAATGTAATCACTGCAGCCTTAAGTGTTCTAAAATTACATCGCTGTAATTTTAAAACACTTTTGCACGTACACGCCCCTCGTGGAAATCAGCTTCGGTTGACAGGGTCAGCGTGTTTGAAACTGTCTACTGTATCTATGTAAAGGATACAAAATAAGTATGATCTCCAAGACTGCTCCAAATTTTCCCATGATTGAGGACGAAACTTTCCCAATCACAACTTTCTTAAAATAATGATAACAACAATGAATTATTTGCCTTATTATGCACTGAACAACCATATTAGATATAATATACTTATATACATACATATTTATAATTAAAATACACGATGGGAAATGGTGGACACTTTCGTTGTTCAAGTGACATCCATTTTCTCATTAAGATTAATGAAATGTATTTGATTTTGTTCCCACGTTTTTTTGGTCATGTGCTAGTCATTATTAAGTACTAGTTAAAACGTTTCAGCTATAGTCCAGGCCCATTGTTCGTCGTTCGATTAGCTGATACAGAGCCTGAATTAAAGGCACAGTTCAGCCTTTTGAATGATGGTTTTTAAGGCGCATTTCAGCCCTTTTAATTGAAAAAACTAACAAGGAAAATCAATTAAGCATAATTCAAGATCAGCAAACTTAATGTTTTTAACATTTTAAAACATTTTTACTCTAAAATTCGTTGTACAGTATCCTATATGTTAAGGTGCATGTAATCTGTGATATGTTCGTACATAATTGTATTAGTACGTCTCGTTATCCATTAATTGTTAAGGGGTCGAATATCAATTGGAATTTAGCCAGGGTAATTCCTGTACACAAAAAAGGTTCAACTATGCATTGTAATAATTATCGTCCGACTTCTTTGCTATCAATTTTCAATAAATTGTTAGAAAACTTGTTTTTAATAGAATTAGTTGTTTCATTGAAAAACACAATATCTTATACAATAAGCAATTCGGCTTTCGTGCAAAACATTCTACATTACATGCAACACTTTCGATTACTGATCAGATACAAACAGCTGTTGAAAATGGTCACTACTCGTGTGGTATTTTCTTAGATGTATCTAAGGCCTTTGATACAGTTAATCATTCTATTCTGTCACAAAAACTTGAGCATTATGGATTTATAGGTATAGTATATGACTGGTTTAAGTCATATTTATATAATAGAAAACAATTTGTTTCAATAGGAGGTGTCTCATCAGGATTACTAGATGTTACCTGTGGGATGCCACAAGGTTCTGCTCTTGGCCCTCTACTTTTTCTTTTAATAATATATTAATGATATGAAAAACACTACTAGTGATCTTGATATTCACCTTTTTGCTGATGACTCAAATCTCTTCTGTTCCGATAAGAGTTTGTCAAGGCTGGAAACAAGGGTTAACGCTCAACTATCAGAAGTTTATCGTTGGCTTTGTGCTAATAAATTGTCCTTAAATATTGAAAAATCAAACTATATCATATTTCACTCGGTTCAGAGAAAGTTTAACTACGAAATTAAAGTCTTCTTAAATAATCAAATACTTAAACGAGAATTTAGTACCACTTAGCCTACTTGGGTGTAGCAATTGACTGTCATTTAAATTGGAAATCGCATGTGTCAATTATATCGAAAAAGGTTAAACGCAATATAGGTGCAATATCCAAAATAAGGCATTTTGTTAGTATTGATGTACTCATGAACCTTTATTATTCCCTTATTTACCCATTTCTAACATATTGTATGCACTAATGGTTTGGGGAAACACCTATGCTTCATCTATCGATCCTTTGTTTATTTTGCAGAAAAAATAGTTAGAATACAAGAAAAAACATACTCCGAAGAATAACATCTTGTAAACTCAAGATACGAGCTATAACACAAGACAACAATTTTGCGGTGATAGTTCGACTCTATTTCAAAGTCATTGTCAAACCAGAAAAATAGTTAGGTTAATGACCTTTTCAAATTTTAATGACCATACAGATCCTTTATTTATAAAATTAAATATATTGAAGATGCATGATCTTGTCTTCTATTGGAATGCAGCATTTATGCATGATTTCTATAATGGAAACTTGCCAGAAATATTTCACACTTTTTTTACTTCTGTAAAAGAAAAACATAATCATAATACCAGATTTGCTTCAAGATTGACTTATTCTATTCCAAAGATAAGAACCAAATATGGAAAATTTAATATACGCTTTTCGGGCGTAAAGGTATGGAATGAAATTGATGATGAAATAAAGAAACTTAAACAATCAAAATTTAAAGCTGAAGTTAAAAAAATTCCTACTGCAAAAATACAAGGAATGATTGTCAAAACTAACAAAACAAAATTGAAAATACAAAATTAATAATTACATGCAATTATATTTGAACAAGATTTTCTTTTTTTCTCTTCCCTTTGTTTTTTCTCTTCTTTTTGTTTTTTCTCTTTTTTTGAATAGTTATAAGCAAGGTACTAGTAATAGTGAACTACTTCTTTATATATGAACAATTTTTGACCTTCAAGTTATACATCTGTGCTTTAATTAAAATTAATTTGAAATGGAAATATATTATTTATTTATTAAGCTAGCTGCCTCGTTTAACCTAATGGTTACTGCTGCTAGCTGGCACCTAAATCAGGATCCAAATATTTAATGTAAATAACATAATTGAAATAATGGTGCTCAATAAAATTGATTGATTGATTAGTTTCTGTTTTCTTCTCCTGTCACAGCATTTTCTAGTTATTGTTATTGTTATATCCCTATGTAAATGTATATCTTTTATGTGCGTGACAAAATGAATAAATAAATAAATAAAATTTTTATTGTTAAAAACATTGAGTTTACTGATCTTGAATTATGTATAATTGATTTTCCTAGTTAGTTTTTGTCAATTAAAAGGGTTGAAATGCGCCTTAAAAACCATCATTCAAAAGGCTGAACTGTGCCGTTAACGTTCAAAAGTTGTCCGGAAAAATGTCCGAGTAGTCAAATTTTCGATTTCTTTTTTACTCCAGGGCCAGGCCTTCACTTCGACCCCAAGCCAAAGTAAATCAAGTCAATACTTTATACCATAGACAACAATAAAGGACATTTCCGACCAAATATCAGTTTTTTCGACCAAATGCTAAATTTAAACTTTGAATTAATAATTTCAAGTAGTAGTTCTCCCAGCAAAAATCTTCACTTACTGAAGCTCTCATAGGTAAAGCCTCGTCCACAAAAAGTAAGCTCAAAAAGTTCAAAGCAACCATTGCCATGGAAATTGCCTGTTAAAAATAAATAAACGCTGAATCGGAAGCAAAATACAGGTAGTTTCCCTGCAAAAAAGATAAAATTATATTTGTTTAGGATCTGAACTGTTTAAAGAAATTGTTATTGATCATGAGAAAACGTATAGTACCACTTTTAACCCGCAGAAAGATACACTTATACAATACATTATACACGAAATATATAGACAGTGTAGCCTGGGTATTCAGGCAGGCTCAACCAAAATGCCTGTTTTGCAGGCTATATATAGTCAGTGCAAATCAAGATTGGCAACATATTTCCCACCGTCAGTTGCAAATGCATGTCAGGCCTTCAGTCTCAAACATAAGCAAAATTGCTAAAATGATACATTATCAGGCTTTTATTGTTACTCCACTATCGTTTAAAGAAACTATTGTGAGCTAAGGAGGCGGTCAGTTGCCTCTTTTGCGCCTCACTTCATCTAGTGCCGTCATTGGTCTGATTGCTTGATTTTCAGATGACGTCAACATACAGTCAAAGCACCATAAACTACATTATTTACACTTACAGTAAGCAGTAGAAGCACCAAAAAGCACAGTGGATAAACCAAGTTTCTTTGCCACGACGACGCATCACGGCGACGCTCTAATAGGAAATATATAATTGTACAATAATGACAATGTGTCAACAAAGTCCACTGACTACAATCAGTGAGATTGAAAGGTGGGACACTTAGATTGGAAGGTTATTTTCGTAAACAATTGCGAAAATAACATCTAAAACCCGCCTCGCCGATTTCAATGTTGCTGGCTGGGAGAGTTATCGGCAACGCAATACAACATAAAACCATAGCCAACCCAACAAATAGATGTATTCACTTAAAAATTCGTCTGACTCTGCTATCAAGCGAGTTATCCTGTAGCTCATTATGTATGCAGATTCGGGTGGTTATATCATTGTGTTTTCATATCCACCCGATTCTGCATACATAATGAGATACATAGTGAGATTGTATTGTATTGTATTTTTATTTCACATCCCTTAAAAGGCTTTTCAGCGAAATATTACATATAAAATTATCTAAATTATTTATACACCATAATAATAGACACACACACATACACATAACAACACACACACAAATATATATGCTATTTACATCAAGATTTCTTAAGATTGGTCCTAAATGTTTCTACAAGTCTTTCGTTGTTTCGCAGGTCCTAAGTTCTGGTTTTAAGGAATGGACCATTTGCATTATAGACTAAATTTTGATCTAAACAAGTCTAGACAAACATTTCATCACAGCTTGAAAGAGCATCGCAAAATTAGTAATACTCCAAAGTTTCGTTGCGAAATGTTGTAAAATGCGGATAATATAGCCTTGCAAAGTTTGCCGTTTTTCAGTCATTTTGCATTACGCGGGGGAAATTGACAGCCCAATACCCTTTGGGGCTGTCAATTTCCCGTTTGTAATAGAAACTGACTGAAAAACGGCAAACTTCGCAAGGCTATATTATCCGCATTTTACAACATTTCGCAACGAAACTTTGGAATATTACTAATTTTGTGATGCTCCTTCAAGCTGTGATGAAATTTTTGTCTAGACTTGTTGAGATCAAAATTTAGTCTATAATGCAAATGGTCCATTCCAAATTGTGGCCATTCTGAATTTGAAAGATCGTTGCCCAGTCGCTGTTCTGTATAAAGGAGTATCAATCATGCTCGAGTTCCTAGTATGATTGATAAAGACTGGTGGATGAAGACTGAAGAAGACTGGTGGGCCGACTGACATATCGATTTACTCGTGACTAGCCGTTCAATACTCTATAAAGCAGCAGTTTTCGTAGCCTACAACAACTGGGAACCTGGTTTGCTGAAAGAATGACACACCAACTGACTGACCGACATACATGCACATACGGACGAGGTAAAAATAGAGACTGAAAGAATTCAATTAGAACATGGTTGCAACACTAGTAGCAACACAAGTGAGCAAAACATGTCAGCAACCATGTTTATCAAAAAGCATTGCCAACGAGTACGAAACGCAAAGCCAGTGTAACTGACCACTAATTCTGATCGCGTAATTAGCACAATAATTATAGTATGCTACCATGTGAAATGATAATACTAGAACTTTACTGTAACCTAGCTTCTTTTTTTCTTGTTCCATTTCATCTAATTGTTTGTAGGATTCCTCGTGATCAACGTTAGAACGACTGCCGCCATTTTGTATACCTAAAACATTCAACGTCATGACATGAATAATTTGTTGTTCGAGTTTGCGACTCAATCCTTGCACATGTGGTTTCTCGTCTATCAACCCCATGTTTTCAGATCTATCTGACCATTGTAATCACTCAATTTTATAACTTGGCTTTCCTTAAAACCAGAGCCTTAAAACCTTCACAACCAATGATTTTATGGGTAAATATCAGGATTTTTTTTTGCATCTCACTCGATTGAGCTAGTGTTTCGCAGCTGCTCCTACTCGAAATTTCCATCTACAAAATCCTCCACCAATGGCTTTATAACAAACATACTTGCAGGGAGGTGAGTCCGGGATTGGATGCACCAAGGGTGGCTGGAAGTTTCGCGAACTCATCGAGCGAAGCGAGGTGAGTTCGGGAAACTTCCAGCCACCCGAGGTGCGTCCAATCCCGGACTCACCGAACCTGCAAGTATGTTTGGTTTTTATCCCATACACCGAGCCATACACATATTACAGCTCTTCGCGATATATTCGTCGATGCTTTGTCAACATTTTTCCGGCCAAAAAAATCACTGGGCTCTTAATATACGTCTAGATTACCTTTATTGCATTTTTTCTTTGGTTTTTCTTCAGTCTCAGTAGGGTCTCAGCAGGTTAGTCACCGAAAAAAGTTCTTTAAAGTTTAGGTTTATCGGCTAAATCTAGATCTTGTCCGCCATTGTTAATTCGCGGGTGAGTTCGGCGAAAAGCAGGTGAGTTCGGGCAAAAAGCAGGTGAGCTCGACGACAAGCTCACCTGCTCTAAACCAATCAGCAAGCCACTTTTAACACAGGTATGGGATAATACCCTATACTACTTGCTTTAACCCTATCAAGCACTCTCAGATGTTTCGTAAACCAAACACACTTCACCTTATATATTTACATACCTGTACCATTAGGAATGACACCTGTTGATCGTTTTCTTACAGTTTGCTTCATTTTTTTATTGATTATCTGCCTCTCCATCTTTATGATATACAATTCCGCATCGATATCACTAAGAAACTGATAACAAAGAAAGTATAATTTCAGAATTTAGTGCTGTATACTAATCAAGACTGAATTTGTGGTGTTGATGAAACGTCATGTTTGTATATGCCTACTGTACATCAGGATTCGTACAAGGAAGGAATTTTCATGGACTTTCATGTATCAGGAAATTCAAGGACTAAAGGGCTGAAAAGAAGGCGCTAGAAATGAGTTAAAACTGAAAGTGACGTCAAACTGTTCAAATGACAACTATACTGAATTTCAAACAAGCTTTGTAAAGACATGAGCACGATCAATTCAACAATATGTCCGTTATTTAATGTCAAATAATTTAAGAGGATGTGCAGAAAATAAAGAATTTAAGGACTTTCAAGCACTTTTAAATTCAAGGATTTTTGAGGGGTTGAATTTTTGTTCTTAAATTCAAGGACTTTCAAGTTTTGTACGAACCCTCCTACAAGGCACTGGCATAAGTTCTGAGTTAACCCATTAAGTGGCAGCACTCTTCGCTTGACGAGTAAAATCGTCTGGCGTTAGACAGAGTAAAATACTAAGGTAAAAGGCGCATCAGGGTGCATTGCCACTTAAAGGGTTAAAGAGTCATTGTCAACCACAATGCATTGTGCTCCCAACCCTGCCGTTGGCGGCCATTTTAATGGCGGAATAATAGATGTTTCGTTTTCAATCCATAATATATTACTACCATCCTAGGGTTAAATTTGCTCATTTTAACTTTTTTATACTAAAATTGCACCAAAGAAATGTTTATATAATCGTCATTTGTTGCTATTTGTCACTTCCAAAGGTAAGATGTAAACAAATGCATTGTGGTTGACAATGACTCTTTAATGACCATATTATGTTTTATACCTGAGGTTTCACAACATACTTTTCAAGTACGGTGAACATTCGGGTCAATCCAACTGGAGTGAAAACTAAAACAAACACGAGAAACATTGTAATTGTAGCCAAACAAAGTATTCGGGTCTTGCAGTCACGCGGGAAGATTACGTCACGCTAAGCTAAGAAATGGGCCTATAAAATTGCTCGGGCCCGCAGTAATTGGCTATTCGCTGTTGCGGTCACCCAGCCGTGGTCATGTACTGTATTTCATTATGTACGTTTGTTTTTGTCCTGTTATGTAATGTACTGTTTCATCGGCAAAGTTTATAAAATAAAAATTAAATTAAAATTAAATTAAGAAATCACACGAATTTGGGTAGCAAAAATAACGGACAGCAAAGGAAACGACTGTCTAAATTTGCCAAAAATTTGCCTTTCTAAATTCGTATTAAGCAGGGTAAATAAAAGCGATAAACTGGAGCTCTACCAAAGTGAAGCTGTGAAATTTTGACGGCAAATGGATGCTGTGTGAACTATGTTTTTATTGAGCTCTAAACATTTGCCACCTCAAACAGCGGAAGTCGAATGAATGTATTATGACGTCACTTGCAAGGGCTGACTAGGGCACATTAGGACGTATAGCGCCATGGAATAATACACGCTTACGGAAAGTACGTCACCTTGGCTTAGATTTCGTGATTGAGACGTTAGGCTTTAAGATCGCGCAAAAAGGGCTGGAATGAGGTTGTGAAGCTATTTTGGAAAAGGTCTTTTGTACAATGAGTATAGTCTTGGTCCAAGTCCATCCTGGAAAAAAAGTAGGGAGAGAGGGACTTGGGACATTTTCAGCATTTCGAAAGTTACGCGAAAATTTGTTGTTGTTGTTGTTGTTGTTGTTGTTGTTGTTGTTGTTGTTGTTGTTGTTGTTGTTGTTGTTGTTGTTGTTGTTGTTGTTGTTGTTGTCAACTCGCAAGCCACGCCTCCGTAGGAAAAATCCGACGGCAAATTTTGGCGCGCTGGCAAATTTCCCAAGTCCGTCTCTCCGACTCTCTTGAAAGACGGACACTCAACCTCTTGAAAGACGGACTTGAACCAAGTCTACAATGAGTACTGCATATGTACTTACTTAACAAAGAGAAAACGCCAATACACGAAATACAAGAATAAATAAAGGGTAAATATGGTAACCACAAACCTATAGAATGAAAAATATCTATGAAATCAGATTATAATTACTGTAACTTAGACACCCCACTTTTGAAAGACATCAAAATTGAAAGAAACCCCCTCTCTAAAGTTGGGGCTTTGGGCTTCCTGTTAACCATTTTTGAAGTTCAGATTTCCTTTCTCTCTCAAATGCAGCAACGTAATTGCCGTTTAAACCACGACATCATTAGAGCCGAGAGAAAATTTTGCTCTGAACTTGGCAAAAATTCTCAGTGGCCAAATCAATGCAACAAGGCCGAGAAAAATTAGCTTGTATAAAGACCCCTTAGAGGTGTGCTGAGCCTAGATAAAAATTAAAACCTTTCTTGACCAAAATTATGTTTTATATTCTTCGCTTCAGAAATCTATAAAGTTAACTGTTCCTCCCAAGTCGGAAGAAATTAATACAATTACAATAATATGTTTCAAAATAGTCCGGGAGAGGCTTGCATGTCCCTGGCCTTGAAATCTTCCCTCCACGGCCACGCTTAGGACTTCTCGAGCCAACACCACCATGCGGTCCAAACTGCCAACAGAATATATTTCTACCAGAATAGTGCCATATAAAAATCTTACTGCCAAAAATTAACTACTAAGTACGATATGAAATAACTATTACATTTACAACTTACCATCTTCATTCTCGGGACCAAATACATATTCACTGTTAACAATTCCCAACGCAACCCAAACAATACTTGTCACAACAATAACAAGCAGCCCCAGCACAACAAAAGTTTCATATATTCTTGCTTTGATACCCTAAAAACAACACACAATATACAATGCTTACATTTCAATTTCAAGGACGCAGTCATATTCAAAAATTGACAATGTATAGTTAATTCGTTAGACAGTTAGGTATAGTTAGATACTTTAATAGAATTATACATCGCAGCCTACTATGGCTGAAATAAGATCTTAAAATACATCGTATAGTTCGTATCTACTTCCTTGTCATGGAAAAAATAAAAGAGTTAATTCCCAAAACAATTAGTTCGGGTAGTCGGACAATCAATGGAAGCTGTCTTCTTAGGCAATTTAATGGAATGTTTTGGGGCGGTAGCAGACGATGAAGCTTGTGATCTGTGTTGGACACAACCGTCTCGAACTATGTATACATTACATATAGAAAAACTTGTTACCTTTTTTGATCCAGCAAAACCTTCAGACTCGATAAAAAAGTATGCAAACGGAATGGCAACGAACAATGACAAATAAGAACCAAGAAAAATTAAATTCCAAAACCCTATATGGAGAGACAGGGAATCAATTTCAACTACAGATTTACGAACACGTAGAAATACACCTTGATTAAGTTCATCTTGATTTACAAACAGTTGAATCATGGCTGAACACTCCATACGTACAATTACTTTTCCATTCTAATGTAGGTTAGGGTTGAATTGATATTGAAGCAACGAATACAACAGAGTTGATGTTGTCATGCATACTGTAAATGATTGTGATTTGTAATAAATATTCTTGACTTAATGTGACACAGATTTTCCCAATGAATGTTTCGTGAAAAAACTGCGACTATTGTAGAATGATGCATGTTACCAAAAAAAATTAAATTCAAAACCCTACATGGAGAGACAGGGAATAAATTTCAACTACAGATCTACGAACACGTAGAAGTTATTATGGTTTTCGAATTTTAATGTTAAAATTGCCGCTCGCAAGGCATATTAATGAGTAGGTTCCTTGCACTTCACTTGGTGGAATTAATATTAGAATGTTAGAGTTTGTAATCCAAGTGAGTATATATACATTTTAAGACCTGACTAGGAACGACTGCGAAAAATGCAGCACAAGGTCCTCTGGTAGGAATTGAACCAACGGCCCTGCGATCTAACATTCTAATATTAACGAGTATCATTGATACATATTCAGATCTTGCAGTCACGCGGGAACATTACGTCACGCTAAGAAATCAAGTGATTTTGGGCGCACTGACACCCAAAATGACGAAAGTCAAACAATTACGTCGAATTATGGTGTTGTGACGTCACTTGCTGAATAGTTCAAGCAGAAATGTACATACCATGAATAAGAGAACTATTTAACCATTTCACGTAATAACTGCTTTGGTACATCAACAGAAGTTCATTGCTTACAATGGAAACTGGCAGCAATAATGCAGCACCAATTGACACACTTAGGGTGAAAGTACACAGCCATAATCTAAAAGGTATAAATTGCTTTTGTATTTATATTATCTGGGTTACTATAACACACAATGCTATGCCAATTACCATACCGTACCGTACTATACCATGCATGGGCATCAACCTCGTACCCAGGGACTTTCCTCTTGGGGAGCAAAGACCCTGGTAGGCGCTGGTCACGTGATCTGCTAAAATCTAGCAGATTTTTAATTAGCAATCCAAGATCAGGTCAATAAACATTTGATATTTGGATTGTTTTGATAGTTTAATTTATAATTTGCATTTTGTATGATTGTCGTAAAGAAAACCAAGATAGTTAATTAGAAATCTGCCAGATTTTAGTAGATCACGTGACCAGCGTCTACCGGGGTCTTTGCTCCCCAAGAGGAAAGACCTTAGGTACGAGGTTGCATGGGCATGAGTATTGATTGTCGCTAACTTAACCCGCTGTTTTGATTTGTGCATTTCTACATGTCTGTTCATTTCAAAACTTCAGAAAATAACAGTTCTATATTGATCCAGAATAGATTTCAGGAAAAATATTTCCACGTTTGTGAACAAACTGCTGGGAAGTTTGCTTTGATGTTTTTAGTTAACCCAGGATTAAGCTAACCGGCTTTTGAACAACCGCCCCGCGATTCTAACATCTTGGACATTGTAACTTTTTAGTTTCGACAAGTTTGAAACAATGATTTGCATGCTTTATTTAAGCCCAGGACACATTACACAACGATAACGATACGATAACTTGTAAACACGAGATGATTGGTGAAAAAAATTATGTTCGTGTCCACACTACAACGAAAACGATAAAATTATCGTCAGACGAAAACGATTTTAAAATCGTTCACCCCCAGCGATTTTTTTTCAGTCAAACGATAACGATAAATTTTTGACCAGTCAGCGCGCGTATACAAGTTATCGGGTCGTTATCGTTGTGTAGTGCGACCAGGCCTTAGCACCAAAATCTCGAACCTGCCTCCTCCGCAGGCCCTCGTTGCGTCATGGGAAGGTCACGATCTGGCGAGGACCTGCGGAATCTTGTAAAAAAAATGGCGCCGGCGTCACGTCAGCAAGTAAATTTCTACATAATCTTGAATATAAACAGATATAAAAAAGCGGTGTGAAACTTGTAAATTAAACTGCCGACTCTTAGGACGTGGAAGGAAGCATTTTTTAACGATAAGGTTTGTTGTCCACACCAACGTTGCACGAATAAAACTGCCTTCTCAAAACAACATTTATTCATTTTACAAAATTCCGCAGGCCCTCTCGAAATCGTGACCTTCCCATGACACAACGAGGGCCTGCGGAGGAGGCAGCTCTCGAACGGCAGCATGCACATTAAAGACACACGCCTACTGTAAACAACTTCCACCCTGTATGCAATTTTGTTCGTTCAAGTTTATATTTATAAAATAAATTAAATAAATGCAGTATCTTAGTTCAAAGTTTACTTACGAAATCCGGTAAACCCAGTCATCTTCAATATCTACAAAACAACATTTAACTCTTTAGGTGCCAATGCACCCTAGCTTTATTATTTTACTCTGCTTTAACGGATTAATCACATGGACCAGAGTATAGCAACACGTATATTATGCACACGAACAGGTTGTAACTAACTTTCAAGTTTGAGACTTGTTCTTAATGGTTATATAGTACTGAATTATCAATATACAATATACTGACGAGAAGTACGTATATTGTATATTGATAATTTTCTGCCTGAGCTGAGACTTCATGCAGCCCAGCTGTTGTGTTGATGTAAGGAAAAGTAAATTATCGAGTGGAAATTTATATAGGTTCCTGGCAGGAATTGAACCTGCGGCCCTGCGATTACTGTACGTTGCACCGCTCTAACCAACTGAGCTACAGAAGCCAGTTGTCAAGCTCTAACAACAAGTTCATATACTGTATATATACTAGGGTACTGCCATGTATATAGGTTATGTGTAAATATCAAGAATCTCACTCGATTGAATATTAGTTGAAGGGTATTGTAGATGGAAATTATCGAGTGGAAATTTATATACATTTGTTAGACCTAACCAGGAACAGTTGCGAAAAATGCAACTTTAGGTCCTTGCATGGCAGGAATCGAACCTACGGCCCTGCGATTCCGGTGCAGCGCTCTAACCAACTGAGCTAAAGAAGCCAGTTGTCGAGCTTTACCCATAAGTTCATGTATATGTGCTAGGGTACTGCCATGTTAGGTTATGGGTAAATATCAAGATTTTGTTGGCATCTCACTCGATTTAATAATGAGTTGAAGGGTCTTGTAGATGGGAATTATCAAGTGGAAATTTATATACGTTTATTAGACCTAGCCAGGAACAGCTGCGAAAAATGCAACTTTAGATCTCTGGCAGAGTTACATTTTTCACAGCTGTTCCTGACCAGTTAGGTCTAATAAATGTATATAACTTTCCTTCAATACCCTTCAACTATTATTCAATCGAGTGAGATGCCAACAAAATCTTGATATTTACCCATAACCCAACATGGCAGTACCCTAGTATATACATATACATGAACTTGTGGTTAGAGCTCGACAACTGTCCTCTGTAGCTCAGTTGGTTAGAGCGCTGCACCGGAATCGCAGCCGCAGGTTCGATTCCTGCCAGGGGCGTAGAGTTGCATTTTTCGCCGCTGTTCCTGGTTAGGTCTAATACAACTGTAAATGCATATAAATTTCCACTCGACAATTTCCATCTACAATACCCTTAATGAAACAGCAGCGTTTGTACAAATGACCAAAACACGACCCAGATCAAGGAAAAGTAAAGTTTGGATGGTTCTCTCCTGCACTTAGAGCATTTTTCTATGCGTGGTTTTGGTGAGGGAAGAAAACCAGAGGAACCCTTGGCCTTAGTCGTGGAGTATGTGTATGACGAGCCTCTGCCTCGGGCAAATTAGACAACCATCATCCTGTGTTATCAACATTAAATAAGAAATTGAAAATATGAAATTTGGAAATTTTCAAAATAATAATCAATATCTTTTGCAGAAATGTTATAGTATATAAAAATAGGTACGCTAGCAGTACATGTATCTGCGCAAAGGAATTGCATGGTTTCTATGGAAAAAAATTCATTCACAATTATTGAGTAAACATTTAATAATAATAATAATAAAGACTGTATTTAAACTGTTAAAAATCCCATCAGCAATGCTGCTGGTATTAACGCGAGAACAGTGACTACAATTATCAACGTTCTAATATATACAATATTTATATTTGATGATATGACAAAGAATGTTCAGATTGCAGTGTCTTCTCTACCGCAATCAACTGTCTGAAAGAAAGTCTGGAGCAGTTAACATAGTTTCAGTGACTTCAGCAGGTATTTCTGCCTCATCTTCACTCCACTGCTCATCACTTGGCTCATCATCAGGTAGTAACTGTGTCTTATTGACATTTAATACTGCATGTCTATTTGTGGTAGCTAGGTCATTTATAGTATTTTCCACATCATTGTCATGATGTCATCAGCAGTTAATACAATGTTGGGACTACTTTGAAGCCACATATTATTAAAAGTTATACCTTCTTCCCTATAAAGGTTACTGTTATAGTGTTATCAACAACCTATTGTGCAGCTTGTACTACGTACTTGTGAGGTCTTTATACATTTAAAGCTGAACTTTTATATTGTAATCTTCTCTTTAAGTTCACTTTTATGGTTCCAGTTTCAATTGACAGTTGTGGTAACATGCTAACAGTATTTGTTATATTTGCTGGTACATTAACAACATTGCCATTAATGTTTCCCCCAATGCCTCGTCACCCTGTAGAAAGCTGCCATATTTGTTTTGTTTCAGTTTACGGCCTGTTCGCAGGTGTACAGCCCTAACTAGTCGGCCTGAGTGTGTAACGCACACACACACAACTCGATAGCATAGTAGCTAGCGCTACGTGCAGATACAAAAATTATAAATTGAAATAATAAATACTAGTCTGATAAGTGACAATTTTTAATATCAATAGCCTATCAAAAATAAAATTTATCATACTACCAAACTGGTAACCTTTACTGTAACCAGTGGCGGACACTGGGCGGCAGGGGAGGGGCAACTAGCCCCCAATAATTTCTAACAGCTTTGAATGATGGCTGTAACAAAGTTGTAACAACAATTTTTCAACCATCGAAGTATTAAAAGCAGACCTGTCAAGTTTTGAAAAATTTTATGTTTTTAATTTTTAATAAAAATTTTGATGTGTGATTGAGACACACACTTTCAAGACTTCTGGGCACTGGCATTGGCAAAAAGAATGCATTGAACATTGTGCAAATGAAAAGAAATGGGAGTAATTGCTCCACAGGAAGAAACTTCAACAAGTTAAGTTTAAAAATGCGGGAAGAAAGTCACTTCATGCGTGATAGCAAACAAAAATGCGGGAATTTCATGGTAATTGCGGGAAACTTGGAAGGTCTGTTAAAGTCTCCACTAGGACTGTTCGGTATACCGATATATCGAAAATATCGGTATTAAATCAATATCGGTATATCGATACCGGATATTCAACCATATCGATATACCAAAATTTCTGATATACCGTAATTTTTTGGTATATCGTGTTAAATTTACCAACTATATGGCGAAACCATAACCTTTATTTTACTACTGAATGGCAATTCAAAGAACTTTCTACTGCAATGATTTAGAATTTCCACTTCATGAGATTTTACACTGAGTATGTGTCGTTCGAAACAGCTTCGAAATTATCGTTTCCCTTTTAGAATTACTCAAAATTTCCTTCAAATTTCCATTAAAGAATTTTCCTTTATAATTATCAAAGGAAAACCGGTTTACCGATAATATCAGTATAATTGTTTTGGTATATACAGATACTGGAAATTTCTCATACCGAACATTCCTAGTCTCCACCACTGCATGACTCTAATCGTAGACAACCCATTGTATTTATATAATTAATAATTATGCTGTCTATGAAATAATGTCCTATATTATGTTCTTACCTTGGGCAATGTCATCTCTTCTTTGACGGAATATATTGATTAGACAATAAGAAACCACATACAGGATTATAAAAGTCAACAAAAATATCTGTTGAAACGAAAGAAATATACAAATTGTCAAGTAGCCTAAGGCTAGGATGATTTAACCGATAAAGACTAGCAACATTGTACCAGTATTCAAAAAGGGCAAGCGTGATCATGTCTCAAACAATCTCTCTTTTGTCAAGTATTTCAAAACTTCTCGAATGTTGTGTACCAGTCAAAACAAGAGACCATTTTCTTCAATACGTTAGTAACAATCAGCACGGTTTTATTCCAGGTCAGTCATGCACAATGCATTTATTAGTACAGGTCTTGGAGTGCATTGGCCAACAACTCGCATTTAGTACAGGTCTTGGATTGCATTGACCAGGCAACTGTTATTACAAGTTCAGTTCTGTTTGTTGATGCTACTCACTAACGGTTTGCTGACACATGCGTTCGTTGGTCGCGCACACTCTCAAATGGGTCGTTCCAGAAAAGATCCATACCCCCCCCCACGGAGGAAATTTTTGCTGTCCGAAGGGGGAGGGAGGAAAAATGTCTTAGGATGTCCGAAGGGGGGGAGAGGAAAAATGTCTTAGGACAGGGGTCTTCAAACCATGGGTCGCGACCCAAAATTGGGTCGCTAGCACACCCTCGAAGGTCGCAAGGCTTGTCTTGGGTCGCATGGGTCGCAATG